CATTCTATTTTTGCCCGACTAAGTAAGTAGCTCTGTGCTCTGGTCCATTCAGATTCCTGGCTGGAAAGAGTGCACAATGAAAACAATGTTTTCTCAAACAGTATTCCAAAAAGGGAACAACAAAGGCATCAGAAGATGTGGCTGGGGAAAGACACCACGTAAATATTCTGTGTAAGTAATTCCTTGACCAGCTGCATGGGTTCACTGGATTACAATTATTCAGAAAATTAGTTTGCTGTGTCATGTCAATTTTGATAGAAGGATTTTCATTTATATTTATGATAAACAACTTTAAATTGAGAGAACATTTCAACATTTTAAAATTTATGAACTTGTAAATAAACCCATGTACATGGCCAATTAAGGTTTATCACCACTGTGGATTAACTATCTTGGGATGAAATTTTCAGAGCTCATTATTTGTACCTGGGTTGTTCACCTCAATGTATTACATCAAAATCGGTATAAAATATTTAATGTGTGGCATATTTCAAGATAAAAGCTACAGTTACACAAGATAAAACAGAGACACCCTGCTGTAATACCGTAAGCAACAAAACCCTCACCTTGTGCAACATCTGGACTTTTGTTGAAAGCTAATTCAACATGAACATAATTTCAAAAACTAAACGTGGCCACAGGATAGGAAGCAAAGGGCGAAACACATAGCTCAGTGGAGCACCCCATCTTACAACCTTGCAAGTCAGCCCAAACTCCATGAGGAAAATGCAGGACCTGAATTTTAAAAGGAATTCAATTAGCATCTCCAGTATTTCCATAATCAACAGCTGAATGCTAATTAAGAGTGCAGCATCAAGCAGTAAGGGAATCCCAGTGCAATAAGCAACAACACAACAGCAGCAAATGCTACCTTCAGCTTGCATGCATAAATAAACAGTTAATAACTATCCAAGTGTGGAAGGGTGACTTAATCTGTTTCGATTAGGTACAGTTTGGCCTGGAGCCTTTGTGTGATATTTAAATGTGTTCATCATGTTTAATTAAAAACCTAATAATCTAGGATTTGGGTTTTTGTTTTTTTAAGTTCTAATCCGTGTTTCTCCTTTCTGCTCTTCCAAAATTCTGTCAATCTGGATGACTTCCTGAGCAAGAATTCACTCCTCCCATACTGCACGTGAAGCTGGAAGCCGTCAATGTGACGCAGCGGCAGCAGCCGCGTCTCTGGCTCTATCCTTGCCATACCATGGTATCTGAAAGCACCATCCATTTCCTCAGCATTTCTTTCAGAGTGCTGCTCTGATCTGACCCAGTTTGCTTCGCCTGAAGATAATGTACTAGACCAGCTGCCCAGGTGTTTCCTCCCAGTCACTCCATAGAAGTGTGAGATGAAAGGCCTCCTACTGTATGATTTTGAGGCTAAAGATCTCCAGAATTAGTGACTGAGAGAGGTAGGAAAAAGTGGTTGGCTGGTAATATGATGACGCTGACAGTGATGACAAAGACAAAAATAATGAATGATTTGAAAGCTATTTTCAAAAATCAGAACTTGTTGGGCGTGGATGTATGCCTTTAATCCCAGCACTCAGGAGGCTGAGACAGGAGAATCATAAGCTCAAGCCCAGGTAGGCAATTTAAATTTAGCAAACTGAAGTCTCAAAAAAAAATTTGTAAGGGGGTGCTGAGGAGGTAGTTCAATGCACTGGGCTCAGTCAATCCCCAGTACTACAAAATAAAGGAATAAACAAATAATAAATAAACTGTGAGGAACATACAGCTCATTAGCATGGCAGAAAGTCAGCATGAGGATGTGGAGGATTAGCTGCCAATAAAGACCGGAAAAAGAGGTGCAGATCAGCAGAGGGAGAGGTGCTGCAGGACAGCAGAGGATGAGCCGGCCATGCCGCGGTCAGGGTCGCAGCAACAGAAGCCAGCTCCTCCAGGGAGCCAGGGCCTGCCCAGTCAGGAGGGCCCACCCCTGCCCACAGCGCAGCTGCGACTGGGGCCTTCAGGTGCCCCTCCCACTCATCAGACTGTGGCTGCTGTGAAGTATTCACGTACACACAAGAGAACTATGCTCAGAGACCAGAGGAGGCACACGAGACCCTGGGTTGTTACAGCAAATTATCACACAGGAGGAAACACATTTAAAAAATAACTGGAGTGTTCAAGGGTACAGAAAACTGAGGAGAAAAAACAGAGGAGGCAGGCCACAAACTTATTTTAGCTGGACACACTTTTTCTGCTTATTTCTGTGATTCTTGGGGTGAGAAAATGCTGTAAACGTAGCAGAAGGGGCCAACGAACACAGCAGCTGTCTTCCCACAGCCAGAGGCAGGCTGATGTAAAGTGGGGACTGCCTTGTTGCCATCTATGTCTACTTGTATCAATTATTCAATCACTCCCTTGCAGTCACTGGCCAGGTTTTAGAAACCAAAGCTTAACTTTCTACAAAATAAGAGAACCATTTGATCCTGAAGCTCTGCAAGGGCTGGAAGACTGCCAAAAGTATTTCTCAAAACAAGAAGCAAACATCATAAAAACGAGCCCAAACCAACACGGATTTATGCAGTTAAGGATCATTATTCCATACTTGGAATGCTCACCACTTTGGAGTCCTGTTCTGTTTTTTTGCAGTAAAAGTCGAGCTCTTTCTAACGCCTGAGGCACCCCTTCCTCACCACTGCTAAAGGTCTCTGAGCAACAGCAGCAGCAGCAGCAATGCGGACAAGGTCAACATCTTGCCCGACATAGCATGTGCTGCTGGGAAAGGAAACCAGCTTTCTTTTAAGCAGGAAGAGAGGACTCTGTGCTGTGTATTTTAAAAATTCCAGAGGGAATGAAAGGTCATGAGAAGAGAAGGGAGGGGGTGGGAGAGGGCGTCAGGGCTAACAGGGAGGAGGGAGGATGGAGGCTGCAGTCCGAAGAGGGAGACAGGGAGAGAGGGGGACACACTGAGCAAGACAGGTAGAAAGGTAAAATAAGGGAAGGGGATAGCAGCACACAAGATGACAGAAGGGAGAGGAGATGCTCAAGGACCGAAGGCGGTAGCAAAGAGGTACCCACGAACTGACAGGACAGCCTTGGCCAGGCCTGGAGGGGACAACCTTGGCACACGAGATGACACATGCTACATCCTTCTCATCTCCTTCCGGCTTGCCTTTTTTTTTTTTTCAGATACCGGGAATCGAACTCAGGACCTTGCCTTGCCAGGCAGGCACTGTGCCACTGAGCTAAATCCCCAGTCCCTCCTTCCGTCTTTCTTTATAAAGGCTTTCTGGAGAATTTTAAATCTTACCAGTCAAATCTCTCGTCTCTTTTCCATACAAATGGTTTACAATAAGAAAGACTTCTCAAGATGACGTCTCAAAACAACTGAATTTAATGTTTTTACTTCAGCCACTGTCTGAACATGCAAAAGTGCTCCTACCACTTTAAATAAAGTTTGCTGATTGTTTTTGTTTGTTTGTTTTTGTTTTTTTCCCCAGTACCGGGAATTGAACTCACGACCTTGAGCTTGCCAGGCAGGCGCTGTGCTGCTGAGCTAAATCCCCAGCCCTAAAGTTTGCTAATTTAAAGCAGTCCCACTCATTTCACCATACATCTGGTAACGCTGAAGTCCTGAAGGTCCGTTTAACAGGCACTCTGTCACCAAAGCTGAGCTCAGGGACCATTTCAGTCCATCTCTGCTGCCTCTGAGTCTTTTCCCCACTCCCCTTGGCCTGCCCACCCTCCTGGGTGGACAGTTTCTCCTGGCTCTACTTTCCATGCTTTCTGCACCCACCCCAGACCTGAGCTTAAGCCCCTTGTCTAGGCTATGGTCATCTGGAGCAAAATGCGTTCAGACGCTGTGCAGGCAGTGCAGATCGCCCTGGATAGGCCGCTGCCCACCCTTCCTCACCGTGCCTCACCACATCCCTGCCTGTCTCTTGCATGTGCCAAGAACACCTCCACCTCAGGAAGTAGGTTTCTCCTCTCTTAGACATCCAGCAGGCACCCATTACTCACTACAGTGTCACCCTCCTCAGCCCTTACCTGAAACAACGCCCCTGCCCGCCACTCCCTGACCTCAAGCCACAAGCTGCTTTCCTTCCCTCTGTGCTCCCATACCACTCGCTTGCACTGCACTGAGATAGGACGATAGCCCTTCCTAAAATAGAAGACGCGCAGGGAGACTGAGGCTTGTCTTGACACAGGTCCTAGCACAGCACCCAGCACGTAACGGGCCCGATAAATACTGCTCACAAAAGGTGAGCAGGACCAAAAAGTACATACAACCTGTAAGCACTCTTCTTGCCATATTTTCACACATAAATGAGGAGCCTGTAATCAATAAGCATACTGGTACCAGCCTTTATTTGCATTTCATCTGACTTGCAGGGGCAAATATCAAGTGCTAACATTCATACTGAAGACTCCACTTGGGGAAGCATAAGAAATCAGAAAGCCACTTACAGCAATACCTTTCGAAAGTCACAAGATGGGGATGTAGCTTCATGACAGAAACCATGGGCTTGCAAGTCTGTGCTTATGGGCACCTTTCTCTCTCCCCACATTTCTTTTTTGCACCACAGCAATAGAATGGCTAAGTAAACTGCACTGTGTCTGTTTAATCAAGTCTATGCATCCGGCTTTTGATCAACAGCCTTCAGTACGTTACGGTTTCTGCAAACTCTCAAAATAAAAACAGATTACCAAAGCTGCTCTGGGTTATGGGTAAACTGGCTTAGATGTGCTTGTATTTTTAAATAGTGTGGCATCATAAGCTAGTGTGCACCAACAAACTCAACATTTTTAGAAGTAACTATCAATTACTCCACTGCACGGAACTCGGGGAAATCTTTCCTGTCATTTATGAAACTAATCTTACTAAACCCAAGCCTTTCTGTACAATCACAAGGCCTACAGGCTCTTCCCCTCGGATTGAGACAAGGCAAGGTCAGCCTGTCTTCCACATGAGCCCCTGCCTAGAGCAGTGCAGAGGTCACACATGAAGAAGGGAACCCCCTGACGCCCCAAACAGGGCAGCAGTCCATGCTCACCACTTCGTCTTCAGTCCAGCACTTCTCAATCAGCTTGGGTACAGGCTTCTTTACCAGGCGCTGCAGGGCTTTGCCAGCGTCGTAACTGCTCTCGTGTAGCTAGGACAACAACGATTTCAGTCAGTGAACAGTACCAAGTAACAGAACTGAGCAGATCAATAAAAGGCAAGTCCAACCTACAGCCACACTCTTGGATAGATGAAGTCTGATGAAGGCTCAGAGACTCACAGATTATTTACTGGCATGGCCATCTTCCCCAGTTCCAGCTCTTCTGGGGCAAGTGCTGTGGTTTGGGTTTGAAATGTTCTGAAAGGCCCTGTGTCAGAGGCTTGGCCCTTACTGTGGTGCTACCCAGAGGTGGCGGGAGCCAGCGGGAGGTCTTAGGTCACTGAGACACGCCCTCAAAGAGGCCTGTGGGACACTGGCTGCCAATCTCTTCCCCTCTCCTTTGGCTTCCCAGCTGCCATGAGGTGAGCACAGGTCCAAAGGGAATGGCCAAGTGACCATACACTAACACCTCTTAAACTGTAAGGCAAAGTGTGTGTGGTGGCACATGCCTGGAAGCTGAGCGAGGGTCACAAGGTCAGGGCTAGTACAAGGTACAGAGTGAGACCCTTTCTCCAAAAAGCAAAATAAAACAAAGCCAAAATCACGAAATAGAGCTGGGGGTATAGATCAGCAGCATGGCACCTACCTGGTAAGCACAAGGTCCTGAGTTAAATTTCTGATTCAAAAAAACCCAAAGTAACTCTTTTTGCTGATTAATTTTATTTATCTCGGGTATCCGTTACCATAATGGAGAGCTGACTAAACACAGGAAGCATTCTGATAACAGAAACAGCACCAAGAACCACAGGGCAAACATCTGGTGGGCATGCATCCCGGCAGTGCTCAGGGCACAGCATGCACTCACTGTCTTCCTAGCTTTTGTTCTATGTCCTCACATGGGACAGGAACTACTGGCACCCACTTTGCAGACAGAAAAAAAAAAAAAAAAAAAAAAACGCAGCACAGGCAGGTAAGTAAGGCTGTTCACCATCCTGCACCACCAGCTGGTGCAGCCAAGGCGCGGTCCCAGACACGAGGATGCCTGTTCTCGTTGCCTGCTCCCCACACAGCCTCAACACATATATGTTCTTTCCTTTTAGCTTGTAAGGTTTTTAACTGCAATAATTCACTAGAAACATATACAGTGCCTAAAATAGGACAGTTGTAAAGAAAAGAACCCTGAAATAGAAGGTTGATGATTTTGTACCTATGCATGGAAACAGGGGCCTTCAAGCCCACACCTTCTCATCCCGGGTAGGGATGGTACCACTGTCCCTCCCCTTGCAAAGGACTCTTCCATGGCTTCTACAGCCCTGCCCATTTCTAAGGCTGAGTCCCAAGGAGTAGATGACAAACAGGAACAGCAGGAAGAAACCTTCTCAATCTGTACTCCAAGCTACAGCTGTCCCTCCAAAACCCTCACTGCAAATCTGTCTCTTTTTGGCCCTCTAGTCCTCTGCCACAAGACGTAATTGTGGCTGAAATTCGTAGATGTAGGGCTAACATGGTCTGTAGCATAAGGTGATCCTCTAGAAACACTTGCTAAACTAATAAATAAAAGAATAAGTAAGTAAATGTGTCTACTTGGCCCTACTCTCATGTCAGCTAGTCCGACCTCACTCAGCCATATGTTGGCAGAGGGTCTCTCTGTTCCAGGCAAGGTACGAGGCTCTTGGATATAACAGGTGGAAACACAGGAATGAATCCTCTTTCAGAGGTACACAAAGACTTAAAATAAACTAGAGCTCTTATATTTTGCCTAGTATTTAAAACAAGTAGTTATTTGCCAAGTTCTAGAATATAATAAGAATTTTTAATAACCAAAAAAAAAAAAAAAAAAAAAAAAAAAAAATATTGTTAAAGTCAGGATGCCTTCTCGATAGCCTGGCTACAAAGTGAGTTCAAGACCAGCCTGAACTGCATAGTGAGACCCTGTCTCAAAAAAAAAAAAAAAAAAAACCAGTAAGAGGAGAGGATACATGTCTAGTCAATTTAAAACACACACTTTTGGTGATAATTTGAAGTCAAGTCAAGGTGACCAAATTATAAATTTCTAATAAAAACTTCAAGGAAAAATTAAGATTTTTAAAGAAGTGCTTATACTGTATGAGAGACTTAAAGGGAAGTATGGAAAAACCGCAGACTGCAGGGGTGCTGGGATCCAAATTCCAGCTCTATACTCATAAGGCCTGTGAGCTTGGGACAGTGTCTCAGCCTCCTAGCACCTCCCCCGCTTTTTTTACAAAACAAGGTCTCATTATGTGTCCCAGGCTGACCTCAAACTCACCATCCTCCTCTTCCTGCCTCAGCTTCCCAAGTGCAAGGCATACAAGTGCACACCATACACCCAACTAATTCCAACATTTTAAAAAATGAGCTATTGTAAATCCATCTCAATTTTTAGCTTACAGTAGCCATTTCAAATGTAGAAAAGCACTGATCAAGCTATAAACAAAAGCCACTGTTTCACATAATTACTCATGTTAATACTGTAGCTTTATGAAATTTGATTCAAACTGATACAATGAACAGGGAAGTTTTTAAATCTTATGTACCTAGTACCATAAGAACTTAAAGGCAACTCCAAACAGTGGATAAAGTGTCACTCATGCAGACCTGTGACATTCCTGCTCTGGGTAACCTAACGAGCGCGTTATACTGTGGCGTGCAGAAATGCTGTGGACGCTCTGCTGGGTACGCAGCTGTGCTTGTCTGGGTTACTAGAGAGAGCGGCTGCCCCTGCACAGTGCTCCTCAGTGGAACTGCTAGTGAGGTGCTTAACGGAGAAAGGAGCTTCCAAAGTGGCCCACATTCACACTCCCTTCACAGGATGGTTCGAGTCACACACTTTCCTGCAGAAGCTGCTGCAATAAACTGGGAATCTGATCTCCCTACTGCTAAAGGTTCTTTGCTTTAATCCACTGGACTATTAAAATATTTCTATTTCTGACTTTCCCATGATAGAAACTCAACGTATTTGCAGAATGCCTATCCCTTCCTTCTCTGCACAGACACAGTTGTGAAGTAAAAGTGAGGAGTTATTTTCCATAAGTGATGTAACAGATCCTGTATGAAACCTGAGGGTGGGATAGCATCGCGCTACAAGAGTGCAGGCAGGGCTGGCTCCACCCACAGTGAGCCTGCAGGACCCTGAGGGAGGAAAACAGATGTTTTCATCTGCCAGGAATCTTATTGAGAAAACACTGAACAGGAGCTTCACATCTTTCAGAATTCCAGAAGCCTCCTCTTATCTGCGGAGGACACTTTCCAAGGCCCCAGCGTGCCTGAAGCAGGGTGGCAGGGGACTCTATAAACCAAGATGATTTTCCATACATCTGTGCCCATGATCACATTTAGCTTATAAACACGGTTGAGAGGGTAACAATAACTATAAATAAAACAGAATAATAACAATTTTTATATTAAGTTATTTAAAACTGTGAATTATTCTGGAATTTTTTACTCTACTTTTAGACCACAGTTAACTGCCACAGTGGAAAGGCTAACTGTGGACCAGGACAAGCAAGTGCAGGGATCAGCTATACTTTGCTTTCTCAGTAAAAATATTCTCTGGACATCCTGAAGTTGTGATAGCGTACACGGCGTCCCAGAGAAGGCTGCCTCCAGAGCGTGCTGGAAGATGGCAGGACGCAGGACGTCTTCAGCCCTTCCACATGGACTCACGTGCGCCAGGCCCTCCCAAGCTGCTGGACAGACACAGGGATAACAGGCACCAGTAATGTGCAGCTATGAGTGCTGTGCTGGAGTCAGTGAAAAGTGCTGCGCCAGGGAGGCACACTCATCTAAATGGCACTTCCAAACTTAGAGCCTAAAAGGGATCTATCTACGTTCTTCGTTGATAGCAAGTAACTCCTGCCTACTGTCTCTCTTCTAGATGATTATGATTTTCTTTGATAATAGCTGAGGAAGAGCTAAACAACATTTCCACTATATGGCTCATATAAATTAGAATTAGTAAGTTTACCAAAACACTAGCTATCTTAAATCTCTACGAAGTGTGACTAGAAACATTCTCCAATACAGCATCAAGCTCTGTGAAGAATTTGAACAATTTCATTTTGTGAAAAACATTATGTAGATCTCAAATTTTAAACACATTCTCCAGACCACACAGATAAATCTGTAGAGTCAGAACATTCAATGCAGACTTCCTAACACTGCTAAGGTAAACAGTCCTTTACTGTGAGTAAGATTTTCTACCATTTCCCTAGAGAAGGTGATGGGAAGAAACTGCAATGAAGACGGGGAAAAGCTCTCAGATACCTTAAAGCTTCACTCTGTAGCCACAGAATTAAAGCAATTAAAGCAAGATAATTAAACCCTTCTGTCCATTTCGCAGCCTTGATGCCTGGCAGAATCTGGGGTTGAATGCAATTTTGATATGGAGTGTACAGAACTGCTCATGATGTGCTAATGAAAAAAGATCACTGCTAAAATCAGGGAGCAAGATGTAGCATCTTGACTCAAAGCAGCTTCCAATTTCTGAAAGCTACTGGTGGCAGAAGAACTTGGATCTTCCACGAAGATTCCCCAGTGCCCTGCCTACCACTGAATTAGGATGTCGTTTACGGGAAATCACTTTGAAACTCATCACCCTGGGTGCAGTGCACAGTGGTTTGGTTTTTTAATACAATCAGAGAAATACCACTTATAAATCTATCTGCCTCTTTCCACATCACTAAAGCTCAGGACTGTGCTTCGACCAGTAAAACCCGTTTTCCCTAAACGAAAGGTCAAGACCTTAGGTTTGCACTGGAGAAGTGTGGTAACACAATGGAGATTCTTCACCAATCCACTATCCTTCTGTGTGGCTCCATCACAGGTGACCCTGCTCTGCTGCTCTCCACTACTTATACTGTGTCCCTGGCCAACTCCAGACTCTCGTTGGGGCTTTGTTCCTTGTGAAAGTGCACACATGAACTCTCTCCCTGTCGAGGTTCAGACCTCTCCTACATACCTTCTGCCCAGAAGTCCCAGGGCCACAAGACAGCAGGATAGTCTGGCCTCAGAGGCCTTCCATTCACTCAAGA